CACCCCTAAGATATCATCCCTGTATCATCGGTAGGTACACCCCTAAGATATCATCCCTGTATCATATAGGGTGGATTGAATGTGTATCAAATTGACTTGTTATGTGTTTGGAGTGGATCGAATGTGTATCGAGTGTGTATCGAATTGACTTGTAGGTATCTGTCTGTAAAAAAACTCCACTTGAATGATTTGGCCTTCACCATCACTAAGGTCAATGTAGTAAGATGTCTTAATGATATCATTGAGTTATGTTCAGTTATAACAGAGTTTTTTCACTGCACAGGTTTTTCCTAATGTGCTATGCATTTGTCAACTTGGCTTGTGTTGTACAATCTTTGCTAAAAACACCAAACTGGAGACCTAGATTTAAGTTTTATCATTGGTAAGATTTTAATTACAATACTAGCAGTAAAGATRTTCTTCATACGGCAAAGATATACTTGTATTTCATTATTGACTTAACATTAAACATGAACCAGCAGGCGTCAAATTAGAATGAAAGCTGTGACACTGTGACATTAATTTACAAAGTTAAAACTTCAAATGTTGATATTTTGCAGGTTTACATCATTTCTTGGTGTTTGTCTGTGTGTAGCTTTGATGTTCATTTCTAGTTGGTATTATGCACTTGTAGCAATGATCATTGCTGCTGCTGTCTAYAAATACATTGAGTTTCAAGGGTGAGTGAACGGTACAGCAATTACATGATGAATATTCGTCATTATCAATTTTATCATTATATTTAAGGGTATTGATTATCAATCATCATAATCTCCACTATCATCATCTTTCTATTCCATAAGAAGAGTTGTGGTGAAAATATGGGGAGCTGATCATTATTTGTCATCAATTCAATATTTATCATTATAAAACTCATTAATATTCATAAGGCAAAACACAATAGAAATCATAGCCCATGAAGAGAGTTGTATATTACATACAGATTTCTTGTTCATTTGCATAAACTTTAACTCTGATTTTCTCGGTCAGATTGATTTTTTTTTCAAAAGTTTCTTTAAAACCTTAGCTAGTTTACCTCAACGTTTCATAAGTAATATACAATATTCGCGTGCGATCTGTATGAGGTTTAAAACAGCTCGCTTTCAGCTCGCTTTTTTAAATCCTCATACAGATCGCCCGCTCATATTGTATATATTACATATTAGTTTGTTTTGTATGAGTACAGTGCTAAAAAAGAATGGGGAGATGGAATAAGAGGTCTTAATTTAAGTGCAGCTCGCTATAGTCTGATGAGACTTGAAGATAACCCAACTCACACTAAGAACTGGAGGTAGGCCTGTCAATGATATATTAGAGTTAAAGGATAAGTTTTGTACCAATTATGAATGAATCAATAATATACTTACAGGCCTGAAATTTTGATCTTGTGTAAACTGAARGAGGGTTTTCAACCACAAAGCCCTCGTCTCCTGAGCTTTGCAAGTCAACTTAAACATGGTGGGTGTACCTTTAATGACTTCAACCTACAACAAACTTACATCCATTATCACATAACACTCCACTGAAAAATTTAGGAATAAAGACAAGTTGGTGGTTTGTGGAGATTTTAAAAAGATTTGTTTTATTATTTCACTATAGGGAGAGGTCTATCAGTAGTTGGCTCAGTTCTTGCTGGGTCATTCACTTATGAACAGCGTGCAAAGGATATCCATGCAGCGAAAGAGGTATGCTAGATGCCTAGAGTCAAGAGATAACTGGATAAATGAAAAGAAAATGAAAAATAGGAGAAGGGAATGAATAAGGGAAAAGCTGTAAAAAGGGAAGCTTCMATGTATCATGTAAAAGAAAATCAAAATATATCCCATCATTTATCATAAGAGAAAGGCACAAAATTTATAAATGTTTGACATTTTATAAATAATTTTTATGCCTTTATCTTATGATAACTATTTTTCTTTTTGGCGATTGAAATSATATCCTATCATTGCTTTAGATTAAATTGAGGTTTTGTGGCAGGTGCTAAAGGTTGCAATGAAAGAAGAAAAAGTCAAGGGTTTTATGAAAGTCATCACAGCTGAAGATGTTAAAGAAGGAATCTCATTTCTGTAAATATCTACTTTTTGAATATAGAATTAACTGTGACAACTTAAATCAATGTATCACTGCTAAGTTAGTGAGAAAAGGCTAGGCCTATTTGACAATTATTATTGCTGTACTGCTCTCTCAGGATTCAAGCCAGTGGTCTAGGAGCATTGGAACCAAACACAGTACTTCTAGCATGGCCTGAAAACTGGAGAGAACGAGACCAATGGAGATCATTTGTCCGTAAGCAATCAGATGAATGACTTGTATAAAGAGCTGCCTGACTTTATCCACGAATCTCATTTATTCATTTATGCATTCTTAGCTTCCATCCGTSCATTCATTCATTCATTTATTCTTATTGTTCATTCAACTATTTGTTATTTGCTCAATGTACAGAGACAGTGAATTCAGTAGCCCTTGGRGAATCAGCCCTTCTAGTACCTCGTGGTATTGACTTCTTTCCTGATAACCATGCCAGGCTGGAGGGTTACATGGATGTGTGGTGGATTGTCCATGATGGTGGCATGATGATACTTATCTTATTCTTATTGAGAATGCACAAAGTCTGGAGAAGATGTAAACTTAGGATCTTCACTGTGGCTCGTATCCTCTTAGTACATTTAACTCAYTACTGTAGAGTCAATTTCRTACGAGTGGGAAACAGACGGTACTGTACTGTAACCGTAATCGTACTGTAACCAAATTCTAGTRTCTCATTGCTTCACAAGAATTGTGCAGGCCAGGTCTGGTAACTGTGCGGTAACCATGCGGTAATTTCTACYATACRTTTCCCACTCATACAAAATTGACTCTAACTACTAAATCTAACTCTACAACATACTTAACTATTGCTCCTGCTGCTGTTGTTGTTGTTTTTGCTTGTACTAAGTATATGCTGCTACTACCACCACTACTGCTGYTGTTGTTGYTGCTGTTGTTGTTGCTGTTGCTTCTACTACTACATATCTAGCTGCTACTATGTACAATAAAACATGCAATAAACTACTGCTACTGCAGCAATAAAAAATGCAATAAACTTGTGTTGTCCTTAATTACCTATAAAGAACTTGAGGAYAATAGTATTCAAATGAAGAATGATCTTGAAACCTTTATTTATCACCTTAGAATCAAGGCTACAGTAGAAGTCATTGAAATGGTGGGAGCCTTAGTTATTCAATGTACACAACTAGATCTTTGAAAATGAARTTTATTACCATATATTATTTCAGGTTGACCAAGATATAAGTGCTTACACYTATGAACGCACACTAAAAATGGAACAACGAACTGAAATGCTGAAAAGGATGAAGTTGTCCAGAAAGGAAAGTAAAAGAGAGATCCAGAATGTTGTTGAACACTCTTATCGACCTCGTACCACATCTTATTTCAAAGCTACACACTCAGAAAGTGTTAGTGCTACTGATGCCAAGTATGTAGTACACAAATAGCCACTAGTGTCATGTGTTTTATACTGAAAGCTCCTACATTGAATTTTTACAACAGTTGGTCTGATTTAGAGGACACCAGCATGCCTGGAGAGATTAACTGTCAGAGCCAGGAAAAATTCTAAGCACTAAAACACATGATGTGATTCTATCCTAGGAATCCCTCTATGACATAATAAAAACCACCMTTCATCACCCAGTCCAACCTCTTTCCTTTTTTCCTGCTTCTTTTCCTCCTAAGTGGTTTTTCATTCTGTATTTTTTAGTAAGTTATGCCCTGCCTCACCTCGTAAAGAAACCATAGCGAGTGAAACTTCAGTAGAGTTTGACCGACGATTTTCTGATATAGACGAGGATGCATTATTGACAGAACCGTAAGTGAAATGCTTTGAACTTTTAAAAGGGTTTTGTGTGAATAAATAGATGGAGAGGATTGTTAGATGGTTGCTTTGCTCATAATATGCCACTGTACAAATAAGGTACTGTACAAGTAAGGTACTGTCAGTGAGTCTTGTCTTATGGGACAATCTGTGGTGTGGAATCCTTTGACCCACTCCCAGATTCTCAATTGGCTCACATGTAACAATAACTTTGAAGTGTTGAGGTTATTTATTGTCTATCAATAGAGGAGAGAGGAATGTCCGCCGAATGAATACTGCTGTCAAACTAAATGAGATYGTCAAAAAGAAATCTGGTGATTCACAGCTTATTGTAGTCAACCTACCTGCTCCTCCAGATAACACAGATGAATGGCTTAACTGTATCCTTTTCTGCTTTCTTGAATATACCATTAAAATAACTTTTTTTTGTATAAAAATGGTCAAAGGAAGGGATGTGCCAAAATGCATATTAATGATATTTATATCTGGAAAATTAGGTATCTCAAGTTAAGTCCAAGTATCAATGTTTAAAGAATTCACAGGTTGAATAATTTTGAACAGTTTTCTCTTAATGGCCTTTAGATATGGAATTTCTAGAYGTGCTGACAGATGGTTTAGATCGAGTTTTAATGGTTAGGGGTGGAGGTTATGAAGTTGTTACCATTTACTCTTAATGRATGGTTTTAATATGTTATTGGTTGGACATAAGTCTCAATCAATGCAAAATGAGGCAAAGTTCTTAACACAGGAGTTCTCTTGAGGATCAGCTGTAAACTGCAAGGCATGGTGAACGCCAATCACAAGGGTTTTTAAAATAATCATTACCAAGTATTTAATGTATGCAAATTTATTATCAAGTGGAAACCTGTTCCTGTTTAATTATGTCTTGGAAAAAGGTGGTGATTTTGGTAATCCTAAAATAGTAATATTTGTCAGGCATGTTATTGGAGGAGATTGTGATTTTATTGAACAATATCATTACATTTTGTTGATGATTYATTTTATGGTGATATTAACAGATTATTAAAATATTAATATATTATATTATAAACATTGTGATGATATTCTACAGCAGATTGCACTGTGACAGTTTCCAGTTCTGTTTGGTCTAGACTCAATTTTATACAAAACAGTCAAAAATATGGGTRATTTGGAATTTGTTTATTTTAATGYTTGAAAAGTTTTWGTTCACTTAATGCAGTATTGAGGCCAAGCCTTCTAGAAAAGTACAACGGAGGTCCTGTTGCTGTTTTTGACAATCCACTYTGATYCATATAAAACATGACAACAAGAAGAGCTTACACCAAATCTATGAAAGATTATCCCAACATTATAAAGATTGTAAAAGCTGGTATAAGAGTAGAAACACGTAAAGTGTGCAACATAAATACTAACTTAGTACTGGTACATTATGCTAATTGTTTAGTAAGCACTCTTTAGTAGTAAATAGTACAAAGTGTTGCATACATTTTGTGTTTGGTATTTTATCTGATGGAAATTTTTATTTCAATTTGTTAACCAATCCRATTTCATTGTCTTCAACTCTATAACAAAGTATTATCATGGTAACTATTCAATTTTYAAATTTAAAAATGCTTCTTACTCAACTAAATACTGAATTTAATTTAACTTAATTACGAATTATAAATCAATATTACTAACTTTTTTGTCTTGAAAATTCTTAAGAATGGCCTAACTATAGGAGCAGAATGGTTTAACCTTTTTTAGTTTTCTCAAAAACATGTCATTGAGTTGTTATGGCAAAGATGCAAAGGAATATTTGAAATCATTAATTTTCTGATATGCCTCTGCCATGATGTCTACCATATTTGATAATTTTTCAATTATATACTTGTTTAGATTTCATGTCATTTATATCGTGTGATGAGCATAGAAGATAAGTCTTGGGTAGTCAGCAGCTTCTAYGTCTTCTGGAATGGCATTCATACTCAAGCTGAAAGAAATATATCCCTTGTAAACCATTTATTTTACAATGTATGTACTCTTAGCTGTCACACACAATGTGTTGATCAGACATACAATATACAAACAAACAAATCASACAAAATACTGCACTAGATAATAATGGCAATACTGTGATATTACTAGAGTATGATATCTTACTAAATCTCTCTGAGGCTTGGGTGTTGATGAGCAGCGTCCATAAGACAAAGGAAAACATCATTTGATAGCTTCTTGTAGCAGTACTTATAAGAATTTGGATGGCCGTCCACTTGGTCTGGTTTATCTGAAATWATTATTATTAATAACCATTACAAAGACTGTATAAATAATAGAAAATCAAAACAGGTCAACAGGAGATTTAACCTTAGTGAAAACAARTCACAAATCAAGACAATACTACTAATGTATACAGTAACCTCTCTTACAATAAACATTTTATGAAGTTATGACCAACCTGATGCATCACTGTTCAGGATAACTGGACAACCAATAAGAAGCTCCTTCAACTTCGGCAAGGAAGCAATGGCATCTGCTAGAGTTAGAATCCCCAGTTCACCAATGAGATTCTTCTTAAGATTCAAGCATTCCAAGTTCTTCACTTTGGCGGCATTCACAATGACAGAGAGGAACCCTTGTCAGTGATAAAGTTATTATCCACGTAGACCTTGCTTATTGAGGGAATTCCTGACAAAGCTTCAAATATAGCAGTCACACCATCATCAGATATCTTGTTGGACTTGAGGGAAAGCACTCTCAACTTCAACAGATCCACTAGTTTTGTTGCTAATATGACGACACTCTGACAACTTATCTGATTCCAAGCAAGATGCAGTTCTTCCAGGTTAGGAAAGTTACTCAAGACTTCAGTCAGCATTAATAAGCCTTCATCGCTGATAGAATTACCAGACAGATTCAGGTACTGTAGCATCTTCAAGTCTCTGATACATTCCTGAAGATTTGTCCATCCAGAAAGTTCATTTCTTGACAAGTCTAAATGAGTGAGTTGCTTGAGTTTTGGAAGARCTCTTTGAAGTGCRTCATACATTGGTTTTCTGTTCACTACCATCTTTTTCACTTTTGTCATGGCTTTGGTCTTGATTACAGGGTCACTCAATGATAAGTATGTGAGAGTACTACTACAGTGACATAAAGCATCCAACACTGAGGTTATGTCCTTCATATCATGAACTACTACTTTATTTAGAGTCAAGTGACTAAGATTACAGTTTGTTGTCATAACAGAACAGAGAAGTTCGGCATTTGGCTGTGTTAGTTTTTCTCTGGACAAGCTAAACCTGTCAAGCTTTGGTACAGACTTCAGAGCMTCTAGAAGATCGCCCAAGTTATGTTCTGTTGTTTCATTGTAATTTAATTCCACATCATGTAGCTTGGGGCAACACTTGATTATTGCAGCCAGATTCTTCACCAGAATCTTTGACTTGGACACAACAATCTTTTCAATTGATAAAGAAGTTAGGTTGTTTGTAAACACATCCATTGCATCAGCTACTGCAAAACTATTGATAAGATGCAACTCTTTCAAGTCCTTGATTTCAAACAAGCACCGTGCAAGGGTGGCAAGGTTTCTCTTGGCAAGGAAGCTGTCTTCAAATATCAGTGTGTGGACATCAGAACTATTTTGCATGAAGTAAGCCAAAGATTTAATCCCATAAGGAGTTGGATCTGAGGTCTTAAGTCTGACTACCCCCTTGACAACATTCTCACAAAGCATGTGTGCAAGATTTCCCTGTTGGGACTCATACAGTGCTTGCAAACATACAAGAAAGAAGAGTTGATGTGTGTCTTCATGTGCAACTTGACTGCCTTCTTGGATAAGCAATTCAAAGAACTTCTCAAAGTACTCTCCAAGAAGTCCTGGAGTAAAGGAGAACAATACTGTCMACAGCTCGGCCTGAACACACTTCATGATGTGTACAMTAGTCTCCTCATACACTGATACACAATGCATAGACTTCTTGATCCTGTCACTCAACCAGAGKGCTGCTAAAAATTCTTGATAGGATCGATGTAKAAAACGGCACATTTGAACAGGTTTAAGTCTTGATGAACTTCTTTCAAGGCTCAGGAATCCAASCTCAAATATTTCACTGATACAGCCACTCTTTTCCAAGACTTTTCTGTCAAAAATCATTCTATCTTCCAAGAGGCCATTCARAGCAACTTCTCCAAGACAAAGAAGACCTTGATAAAGGTTGTGTGGGATGTCATCCAATGTACTTATGCTCTCAGCAAATTGCTCACCCTCAGTTTTGTCTTTGACRTAATACYGTTTGACAAGACATAASGTCAACTCAACAAATAATCCTGTCATGGTTGAAAGGACTAGGGAATGAGGCATTTCTTCCCACATTGCACAGATCAACAGGGTTGTAACAGGAATTCTGGCAAGATTTTCAGATACAGGATTCATGTCCAGATCAACTATCAAAGCTTCAGCTTCCTCTGGGTTATCTTGGAAGTACTTACGGATRTATTGGTGCATGTTTTCAGCTGTAAACCCAATAACTTCAATTCTCGTGTCCATATACCAATGAATCTTGGTCCCCTTCCCTGGCCTTGACGTAACCACTACTGTGGACTGCTTCAAGATCTTTCCAGTAATGAGCTCATGAAGATCTTGAATTGCTGATGGGTTTATTTCATCATAGCCATCTAATATAAACAACACATCTTGTTGATGTTGGCTCACATAACTGTATAACTGCTCACAGGAAATTCGGAAATCTTTTGGGAACAATAAATCAAACATGGCTTCCTTGATGCTGCTATTCACTTGTTTTAACTCGATCAGGAAAACCAGTTTAAAAGGRGAKTTCATTTCCCCAGTTGCCCAGTCATAAACAATCTCAGATGCAAGTGTGCTTTTGCCAACACCAGCCTTGCCTTCAATGAGAATGCGCTTGTGCCTTGGGTGAAACACGTCTTCATAGTTTGACAATGGTGACCTTTTCTTGTCAGGAGATTCAACACTACAATGTGTTATTATCTCCAGGTTTGTGAAGATTTGCTTGATGTGAAGTCGGAATGTATCATTCCAAGCAAGTGGTTGAAGCCAGCCAATGACATTCTTGTAATGGTCTTGTAAGGAGCCCTTCAACTCTGCCAAAGTCTTGTCTGCTTGAGTTACCTTGGTAYCTARATTAATAAATATATATTTTACTGTACATCAAAAATGTTACAATTTCGAARCAAGCACACGAGAATACAATAACTAAACAACTTAAAAAATACCCGAAAAATGTTACAATTACTTTTGCGAAAACAATCTTAAATATTCGTGGTATTATTTACAAAATGTGGTATTACTCAGAGCATGTTTACCTGACCCTCCACGAAGCACTTGTGAAAGCTCACTTCTATTGATGCTTTCAAATAAAGCGATCAAATACTCGTCGTTTTGAGAACCCAACAAGTTGTCACGCTCTAGCAGATCGAACAGCTCAAGGGGTCGAGCGATTTTCTCCAAGATTCCCGAGGGAAAATGCTCTTTACACAGAAATTTTAGATCCAAGAAGTCTCTTTCTGTTAATTCATGGGCGATCGCAAGCAGTCTGGCTCTATAAGGATCCATCTTAAAACGCTAACCGAATACATCGACCACCGCTATCCCCACCATCTTACTTGTTTGTTGGGTCGTGATGATCGCGAACGCTTCGACGTCAACACAGGAACCCCAAGTCTTTATCCATGGGCTTCCTGTCTTAAAAATCCAAAATGGCTGCACAAAGACTAGTATCAGATTTTGTGAAGAAATCTTCCTCACAATTGGCTTTAAGGCAAAGTTTTTCTTCCATTAGAAAGTTCAGCTCAAACAAGAGTCTTTTTTCGTCAAGTAAATTCCCGCCTCGTGTTGATTGCATGCTACCTGAGAATTGTTTCAAAGGGAAGACAGCTTTTGTGACTGGCGGAGGTACAGGACTTGGAAAGGGAATGTCCAAAATGCTATCAGAACTTGGAGCTACAGTTGTGATATCAAGCAGGTACTATGTTTGAATATATAATTGTTCGTTTGTYATATCCAACAAAAATGTTTTGACCTGTTGTTAATTTGCTATAGCTAAGTAAAAGCTCGCACGATGAAATTTTGAAATATGATTTTGCAGAAAACTTGACGTTCTTGAGAAAACAGCACAAGAAATCTCAGAGCAMACTGGAAATAAGGTAAATGAAGAAAAAATGCATKTCAATATGAAAATGTGTTTTTTGCTTCATGAAAGTTAATGAATTGATTTATTCAACAGTTKTTTTTCCTGATCGACCCCTGGAGAGTAGCCAGAGAAATGCATCATTTATATTTACTGCTTTCCTGACATTTAACAGGTTATTGCAGCAGCTGCTGACGTCCGTGATCCATCACAAGTCAAGTCAGCAGTTGACCAGTGTGTTGCTGAATGTGGCTTACCAGATATCATCATTAACAATGCTGCTGGAAACTTCATATCACCAACTGAAAGACTGTCGCCCAATGCTTGGAGGACTATCATTGATATAGTGCTAAATGGAACTGCTTACGTTAACTTGGATATAGGAAAACGATTGATAGAAGCTGGAAAAGGTGCATGTCCTTGGAAGACATTGATATAATAATACACTAGTATTCCCTTTGCTTTATTTAGAGTGTTCATACCCCACTAAATTCAAACTAAATCTTATTAGGTGCTAATTGTTTAAGAATTATTTCACAATTTTGTGGCATGCACTCCAACAACACTATGATCATTCATTGGATCTTTCAGGTGCAAATTTTCTTGCTATAACTACCATTTATGCCAAGTCTGGGTCAGGGTATGTTGTTCCATCAGCTGCATCTAAAGCTGGTGTGGAAGCTATGGTCAGGTGAGAGGTGAAACTTATTCCAAATCAAAATCAATTGATAAATCTGTATTCCTAAGTATATTGGTTTATACCTTCTCTACCTGTTCCTCTGATTCTATTTATACATCCAATTTTTACTAAATTTAAGTAATTTTACAGCAAAATAGGACTYTTCATGTTATTTTTTAGATCACTTGCAGCAGAATGGGGGAGGTATGGGATGAGATTTAATGCTATTGCACCAGGACCCATTGAAACAAAGGTATAGCATTCATATTCAACTTGGTACAGATGCTGACTTCAAAGTTAAAAGAATATGTTAAGTACWCATGATTTCCATCTTGTTCTTTGTAGGGTGCGTTTAGTAGATTAGATCCAACTGGTGAATTTTCAAAGATGAGTAAAGAAAGAATTCCAGTA